CCAACTTTAATTCAGATGTAATCTAGGACCGTTAAACTCATGATACAGTACAAAGTCCGAAATCTGGACGTCCATTATCCGGAATGATCTAAAATCCGGACCTCAAAACCATTTTCTCGTAGGTTTTACACATGCGCATTTGATCTCCCCCTCCGCGCATAATAAAACATCTGGAGAGTCCCGATTATTAATTTCACTTCGACACTAAATAAAATATTTTGTTATTGAAGAAACAAGCATTTTAGCATAAAATTCTAATAGGCTCCGTTGCTGCGTGTCTGCTTTGGCACACATCTCAAACCGGAACATTCCACATAGATACATCATTGATCTGATGGCAACCTGGCAAATCATTTATACGTTCCTTTCATCGCCGCATGTTTATAAAACCTTGACAGCTTGAGTAATGACTCATGTAGCGATGCCTAAAAAATTTTTTTATGTTAGTAATTGAATAATAAAGGAGTATGGTAACATTTTATGTTGACATTACGCTTGGCGATGATTACAGATGATTACAGATGATTACAGATGTCAGAATTTAGGACCCACAGAGACTGCATCAGGCGGTAAGACGCCGGCCTTCAATAAGGTTTAAGTATATGTGGAATTTATTTATTCAGAACTCTGATAAGCTTTAAATGCATGTGCAAGAAATAGAAATAAGTATAATAAATAGCTAATATAATTCAGGCTTAATTGTCTCAGTGCACGATAGAAGCAAGATAAAATTTAATGGAACACTTTTCGTTAGTCGCCAAGCTCATGACGCATAGCCAAATATGTATAGTGAAGGATAGCTAAATTTATGATGATAGCCGCTAATTTTAAAGGTTTTCGGATATCTCAAAGCAAAGGTGAAATTTTCCAATTAATGGATTTTGTAAAGATATGTGGAGAAGTGGTAATAAATGAAGATGATGTAAAAGAAGTTTTTCATTGTGAAGACAATGCTTCTCAATCATCAATCAATTAATGAATGGTGAAGTCTGTAGTATGGTTCTAGATCTAGAAAATATCGCTACCGATAGTGAAAAAGTGACAGAGAAAATACTGAAAACGAAAAAATTTCCATTGAAAAGTTAGTCGGAATTCTCGATACAGCAGTAACAGGACTTCAACAATGTAACTGAACAAGTGATTATGTCTGTCTACAGTGTTAAAGAGAAAGTATAAGCACAGAAATCGAAGCAGTTTAAACAACTTACATTGAAAGAAATGTTTAATAAGGCAAACAAATAAATATTAAGCTTTTTTTTTGTAAATTTTGATACCCTTTAGATCATAATAGTTCTTTATTTCATAAATTACGGTTTCATATTTTTAATTTTAGAATTTCTGCATGCTATCTTACGAGATTTAAACTGATGATCTAATATTCGAAAAAATCCCAAATCCCGAATCGCCGAAGTCCCGACGAGTTCGGATTTCGGACTTTGTACTGTATAAGGATTTTTCCCGATGTAGTATTTCTTGTAGTTGGAGTATCAGTTCCTTTCTTGCTTGTGGAACACTTTTAGAACACTCCTCTGCTTGCTTCCTTTCATCCCTCATAAAATAAATCTGCCAGAATTTAGGCTGCTCGCTTTTGTAAAGGATGTACACTTCTAATACAATGATAGACTTGTCCCTGTATCTTAAATTTTGGCATAAAACCACATTCTCTGATTTTTTTTTTTTTTTTTTTTAGTCCCAAAAGATGTCATTTGGAAGTAGGAATTGTAATGTCGGATATTGTCTTTAAAATGTTTGGTTTCTCTGGACTCTTCGGTCAACAACCTGCATAATACACTGGTGTGCAAAAATTAAGGACGAAGTCGAAAAATTAGCATATCAGCTGAACGAAGAGGCAGAGCGGACAGAAAGACCAATCAGGAGATTAAGTAAGGTGATGTACGGTAGCACATGCGCAGATATGCAGGTAGACGTAATGGGGGAGTGTCTGAGTAGTATAAAGCATGTTGTCGGTGTAAGATCAGTATTTCTGGAAAAGAGATTGCACGGCGTATAGCAGTTAAAATCACACCGAGTTGCTGCCTCAGCGAGAAATGGCGAATAATCAATCTGTTAGACGACATCTGGATGCTTTTACCCGAGGTCGAATCATTGGGAAGTAGGAGGAAGGCCACAGTGTGACAAGTGTGGCTGCAGAGTTCGGAATTGCTCACAGCATCGTTTCACGACTTTAGAGACAATTTCAAACTACAGGAACAGCTATCCGGGGGTTCCACGAGGAACCACACCCGGTATATTGCCTTACAGGCCAGAAGAAACAGGCGGCAGACAGCGGGAGAAATCGCTAGACACACGACACAGGCGACTGGACGACCGATATCGCGTTTTACCGCGGCCAAAAGACTGCACGGTGGTGGTCTGTTTGGTGTACGGTGTGTACCTCTAACGCCTGCCCATCGGATAAGGCGTTCTCTGTGGTGCCGGAAACACCGGAATTGGAGAGACAATGAATGGGGACGAGTATTCTTTACATATGAGAGCAGATTCAGTCTGAGTAGCGATTCTCATCGCATACTCATCTGGAGAGAGCGGGGAAGCCGCAATCCTCCCTCGAACATCATTGAAACGGACAGGTATGGAGGTGGCGGTGTTCTCGTTTGGGGAGGCATCATGCTTGGTAGTCGTACAGACCTTCACATCTTCGACGCAGGTTCAGTCAACGGGACCCGTTATTGCAACGAGATTCTTCTTCCATATGTTCGTCTTTTTAGAGGCGCTATGGGTCCGCAGTTCCTTTTCATGGACGACAATGCACCATGTCATCGCACAGTAGCTGCCGAACAGCTCTTAGAGAGTGAGGATATTGAACGTATGGATTGGCCGGCACGATCTCCGGATCTCAATCCCATCGAGCATGTACGGGATTTTCTAGGCAGACGCTTGGCAGCTCGTACCTTACCACCAGTAACGATTCCGGAGCTTCGATTGGCGCTGCAAGACGAATGGGCAGCAATGCCTCAACAACTCATTGACACCCTCATTCTCAGCATGGGCAGACGGTGTGAAACCTGCCTAGCAGTCAGGGGAGATCATATCCGGATGTTAGACCGGATGTTTCTTGCTGGACACCCATCACAGGGATGTTTCGGCCTTCAGTCGCATTGCGCCCCATGCTTTTTTTTCATTAAAGCTTCTTTTTATCCCTCTGATTTCTCTTTTAGTAAGTGTTGCTTACATTACTCATGTCCTTACGTATTGGGGATCTTACGATATTAAAGGTGTTGATTTGGAAAGCTTTTGTACAAAGTTATATTGAAAACCGTCTCGTCCTTAATTTTTGCACACCAGTGTGTATCTGAAGAATCCACAAATAAAGGCCTTTGAACTTTTACAGCATTTCAACACATAGCTTGAGTTTCACTTTTCCACTTCATGGCCGTACAGTACTGACATCTTTTTGGCATAGATTCAATGTCACTTGCCGGATCAGAAGCATAATTCTCCGCTGGATTATAGGGGACTGCTGCATTTTCTTTCTCTCTCCATATTTGCAACCGAGCAGTAGCAAATCGATCCTGTTGTAGTCTTCCTTCTCCATTTTGAGATGTTTCCCTTGCTCTTGCTCTAAAAGTCCTATCCCTTTCTTGCCTTGTTTCTTTCTTCGGTCATTTCCCTTGCCCTTACTCTAAAAGTCGTATGCCTTTCTTGCCTTGTTTCTCTTTCTTCAGTCATTTCCCTTGCCCTTGCTGCCGCTGTAGTACTCCTATTATTTTCTTGTTTTGTTTCTTTTCCAACGGGCGTTTCCCTTGCCCTCGTTGCTGCTGTAGCACTTCTATTATTTTCTTGCCTTATGTTTCTTTTTTCGGCCCTTTCCCTTGTCCTTGATGCTGTTCTGAATGTCCTATTCCTCTCTCGTCTCTATTCTCTTTCTCCGTATATTTCATTTGCTCGGGATGATTCTCCACGTTCTCTATCACTTGCTCGTCTTGCACGTAAACATTTCTTTTTTCTTGGTGACTGAGGCACAATTTCAAGAATCCTCTAGAAAGAGAATTCTTTCCCGAATCTTCTAGGAAAAAATTCTGAAAACGTAAATATAAATTGATAACATTTTATCACTTTTCTCTCTACAAACGTCCAGTATCCAAGAGAAATATTAAATTTAAAAACTGCACATATTTATCGCCCTCATTTTTCCGAGTAGCAACAGTGTTGATATCAGCAACAATGGCAACAGTGATATATCAGCAACAATGTCTGCGTGCCATTGTCGCTGATATAATGAGAGAGAATTATCGATTTGATGCGTTTTCATCAATAAACATAAAATAAAAAAACTCATTCGAAATTTGAAAAAAAAAAAAAAAAAAAAAAAAAGTCGCTTTAAGTGGCACTGGCTCTTGTCTAGATGCACTTGTATACCAAATTTCGTAGTCTTTGGTCTATTAGCTTACGCGCAGCATGAATGAAAGACACACTCTCACACGCAGACAGACTCTTCATTTTATTGTACGTAGAGATTATTTATATTAATGTCTATGCATAATTACAGATTTAAAAATTTGGTTCATACTTAAACAATTTATCAAGGTTTTATTAGCTATAATATTTTATAAATTTGCACCATACTTTCTGGTAGAAATGTTAAATGTAAAACTGTATTGTTGTTATTCCTTCTCATTTAAATTTTTTTAGAAAACAAGTTGTTCAGTATCTGCAAAACTGTTATATCATTGGATAGCAATTTAATTTCTTAATATTATTTAATTTTTGAAAGAGGAGAGGAAAATTAGAACTTACAGCTTATGCATGCTTATAAATAATTAACATTTAGTTTTCTTAGAAATAAATTATTTTAATAAATGTCTTTTAGTTGGTGAAAATGCATATTCTAAAATATTTCTCTTTTTAAATAAAATTAGATCCACAAGAAAGGAGTTTTCAAAACCTGCAATATATTTTTATTTTCTTGCAAAACAAAATGTAAATTGCTGTAACGATTATTTATTTAAATTCACTGTCAGAAATTATGATTATAATTTTAGAGTGGTGGAATTTTGAAGTGAAAGCAATATCGGAAGCAAGATCAGGAGCTGATTTAAAAGCTGCTATGTGGATGTTAGTGAATGTAGAAGCAAAGCGAATTGAGGAAATCAATCAAATGAAAAGTGCCACTGGAAAAGAAAAGCAGTTAGAAAGTAGAAATAAATTCCTGACTGAGGTAAAAATATCATACTAGTTCAGTTTCATGTATTTATTTTTTCCTCCATGTGTGTCCGAATGGATATAATTCATAAATACCAAGGTATGAGTCTGAATACTTCGATTAGGTTCATACCCCTGAGTACCGGCTCACTTGACAGGAAATATCTGATTTTGTCATATATAAATTAAATACGACTCAAGTTTCCCTTAAGTTCTGCCGAAGGTATCCCTGCGTCAGGCAAATACCCTCGTATCTTAAACAATTAACTAATCAGCTAATATATTTATTTTTTTATATTCTGCTGTTCAAAAGTTTAGAAATAAAGTTTTTATCGTGCATAACTTTAAAAGGTCAAAGGCTAGTGAAATTTATCCGCATGATAGATAAAACATTCATTTAAGGTAATTGGCACTGTATCTGCATGTTAAATAACTGAAGAAATATTTTTAAAAATTCCATATTTGTTTATCAAAATGAATTGGTATATATGACATAGGTCCACTCAAAGCTTACATGCATGCTGGGCACAATTTCTCATGATTTCCTGCCTAGATAAATGTAAAGAAAATAAAGAAAAAAATAAAGAAAATAATTTTAGAAATAAAGAATGATAAGAAAAAGAAACACGTTAAACCACGAAGAAAGTTGACCGTGTAAATTTTTTTTAAAGTATATTTCAAACCAGCCGGAGTCATTTTGGCAAAACGTATCAGATTTCAGGGGACTTCATAGCTTCTTGGATGGGTTTCTGGAATAATATGTGAATTTGAAAAGAAAACTTACAATTCGCAACAGACTTAAAAAAAAAACTATTACTACGACTACCGTAATTTCCGGAAGAAACGCCGCGGCGTTTACGTGTTTAAAACTTAAATTTTCAGCGGGTGCGGCGTTTCTACCCATGCGGCGTTTAGGTGCACTAAAATTAAAATATTTCCTATGATGGTCATTGTACATAGTTTGGATGGCCTTGTCATTGTGCATAGACTGGTGCTGTTCCCACACAAAAGACCACTCAGTTGCTTTTTGCGAACGTTATTTTGTTTAAATTCTTTCCCTTGAACGGACCTACATGCCTTATTCACCCTAAATGAGATCTCAGAACAATAACATTCTTCCCCTTTCGAATCAACATTCTCATCAGTTTGAATAGTCTCTCTCCTCTGCCATTCGATGAATCTTCCAGGACCCATCCTCTCCCCACCCCTGCCTTTTCTGCAATGTTTTTCAAAGGCGGACACGATCCACCTGCCTCGCAATAACGAACTCTGACATACACTCACGTTTGTGAAAATTGCAACACCAAGAAGGAATCGTCATAATTGAATGCAATTTAATACACAGTTGAGTGGTAGTGGTACAAATAAATGATTAAATGTTCAAAGCAAACAAACAAGAACAAGAGATCAGAATCAGTATTTTGTGTGGCCACCACGCGCCGCAATAAGTGCTGCTACGACGTGGCATGGAGTCAAACAAAGTTTGAATGTCTGACTGAGGAAGAGCATTCCATATCGTTTGTACGCGTACCCAAAGTTCGTCTGCAGACGCAACAGGACGAGGATCACGAGCAAGACGCCGACCAATGACATCCCACACATGTTCAATTGGCGACATATCCGGGGAACACGCAGGCCAAGGAAGAAGCTGTACCTGCTGCGCTGCAAAGAAGGATTTAACAATCCGAGCAGTATGAGGGCGGGCATTGTCCTGTTGAAATACAGCGCCTGGCAAGCTTTGAAGGAAGGGAACAGCTTCGGGCTGTAGAACTTCACGGATATACCGGTTGCTGTTCAGATTGCCCACAATTCGTAGCAATTGAGATCGTCTATGATATGCTATGGCGCCCCAGACCATAACTCCGGGTGTTCGTCCACTGTGGCGTTCGAGAATGCACTCCGGAAGGTGGCGTTCACCGGCATAGCGTCTGACACGAATGCGGCCATCATGGTACCACAAATTAAAGCGGGATTCGTCAGAAAACACGACATGCTGCCAATCAGCACGCCAGTCTCTATGCTGATTGGCTCATTGTAGCCGCAGGCGGCGATGGTCGTGCGTTAGGGGGATCCTGTATAAAGGAGTCCGTGCGCGCAGTCCACACTGCAGCAGACGTCTACGAATTGATGAAGCACACAATGAAACACCTGTAGCTATTGACCACAGTGCTGCCAATTGTCTAGAGGAAGCTGTACGGTCCGTCCGCGCCATGCGGACCAGGTGTCTATCATCGCGAGCTGACGTCACATTTCGGGGTCCACTCCCGGATTTCCGAGTTGTCCGACACTCGTCCGTCCACTGCTTCCAAACGCGCATCACTGTGCTGCTGTTACGCTGCACACGAAAGGCTACTGCACGATACGACAATCCAGCTTCACGAAGGCCGATGATTCTCCCTCGTTCAAACTCTGTAAGTTGTTCAAATCTCGCTCTCTTTCGTCGACGAGGCATAAGTACAGATTGAGTTAACGTTTACCACTAGCAGATAACCACCGATAGCCATACACGCCTCGCTACATCCGTCTATTTATTCGGATCCATCAGCCGTTCAGAGGGCGCTGCTCAGCATACGCATGCGCTACGGATTTGCAATTCTAATCATTTGCATATCATGCGCTACTTTGCATTTCCTGAAAATTTCAGCTCACTCGCGTAAGTCCTTCATGGTGTTGCAATTTTCACAAACGTGAGTGTATTTCCCCTTCAGCATGAATGGATTTTTCTTGGCATTCTGCCAAATACAGATCCCATCAGTTTGGGTACAAGTACTTGTTGGATAGTTTTTAAGTAAGAAGGGAGCGGAAAATTTTTGAAAATGTCTCTAAACGGCACAGAAGCTATACATTTCTTACCTTTAATTTATTTTTGAGTTATGGTTTTCATTTCATGCATTTTTCTTGTATGTCATATATCAGGACTTGGGTTGAGTTTTTGCATCTATACGGCCCACGACGATGTCACGCGCAATTTAATCTATTGCGGCGTTTACGCTGATGCGGCGTTTCTGTGTAATTTTAATTTTTTTCCCTCCATTTTTCTGGAGTGCGGCGTTTACGCTGATGCGGCCTTTCTTCCGGAAATTACGGTAAATAAAAAGCGCAAAAATATTTTGTTAGAAAGTAATGTCAAGATAATATTTTCTGTAAAGCTTTCAGGTACTTCTGGCTTGCAGAGGATGCCGGCACTAACCACGTCAGAAGCGGACATGTGTCAAAAATAACGATAGCCAAGAGAACTTAAGATTTCTAGCTTTCGAAAAGCAATGCATCAGTAAAACGTTTGGCGATTTTATGAGGTATTTATTCCGCCTTTTTAGCATGCCTTCGTGGTGTAATGGTCTGCACGCTCGGCGCGTATTCGAGAGGTCCATGGTTTGATTCCCGAGAAAAAAAATGAATTGATAAATGAGGGTATTTCTCATTTTTCAAGTCTCCTGCTTCCAAATAACCTAATGTCTCTACAGTTTTAATGAATGCTTATGTAAATTGATAAGTAGTCAGGATGACACATCGCTGATACTCTAAGAATAAACTGGATAACAATTAGATAAACATTCCTTCCTGTTTAGATTTACAATGTTAGCTACACAACTGTTTACTCATTCATGATTGAATAGATTTCTTCTTATCATACTTTGAAACTATATATGCTTGCAAAATGTTTAATACTCGGCAAAAGAAAGGTAAGTAATGTAATATATTCATTAATATCGTATACATTTAGAGTACCGCACTCAGATTTCAAAGAAACAAAACTAAAATGTATTAAAAATATGTGAGAACTGCAATATATTATAGTCAATTTATTTCTTAACCAAGATGTATTCCATTTCTTTATAACAAAAGAAAATAAATCGAAAACATTTTGGAATATTTCAAAGAATCATATTTAGATTCTCAAAATAAATTAATCTCTGATAAGGCCATAAAATATTTTATGAAACTGAATGAACTGGAATCTGTCTATTGTAAAATGTTAATTTACGTATATGATTTTTAAAAGCTTTTTCTTGTACTGTATAGAGTCTCACCTTCTTTGGAAGCATAAACTAACTTGAGACTCTGGAAGACGTAAAGGAATTGTCGCTATGTCTTGGAAACTACAACACAGACATAAGGGTGTAAAAGACCTTTTTATGAAACTCAGTAAATTAATAGAAGGCACGTCTTGTGCTTACCAAACCAACCAGCATTTATAGCGTAATTCAAAAATAATTAATTTAAATTAAACTAAGTTAAGTCATGGTTTAGCCAAAGTCTACACAGAGAGAAAACGCGCAAGTTGGCTCAGACCTGATATAGTGGACGCTCGCTAATTCGAACTCAAACGTCTCATAAAAGATTTCGAACTACACAATGTTAAAAAAATATATATATAACTTTGAAACTGTATCACTAACGAAAAAAAATCTTCTAGTATGTATAAATAATAAGAAATCCAGAAAATATATCTATTACACTATGCTATCTAAAATTAAATATATTAAAAAGCAACAAAGACTTACCTTAATCATAAAATGAAGCAGAAACTTTAGCTAAAAATATGAATTAAACTTTTGGGAAAAACTGTAAAATGGATGTTTGTTTTTGTCTATAATGCCTACATTTTTCATCCAGCTTCTCGATTTTTCAATTCATTTTGAGAGGAAAGTTCATTCCGAATAAATTACAAAAGTTTTTAAGTGCATTCCGGCTTGATCAATAGGACACCCGATAAGGTCTTCTGTTTCATAGTCTCGGATATTTTTTATTATGCCACCGTCGCTCAGTTTTCCAAATACTTAAAACTCTTCATTTATCCTTACATAATCAGAAAAGGTAACGTTATCACATTTAAGTTCTTTGAATTCAGAAAAGTTTTATCCGTATCGCCCCATTATTCGATATGATTCGTGCCCGAATTTAGCATGACGAAAACAGTTACTAATTGTGCTTTCTTTAACAGCATTCCATGCGGCACATATGCTATTTATAGTTGTCAGCAGAGTAATATCGCAGTTTTCACCACAGTAATCT